ACACACACACACACACACACACACACACACACACACACACACACACACACACACACACACACACACACACACACACACACACACACACACACACAACAACAACTACTACTATATATATATATATATATATATATATATATATATATCTATATACTTCATGATGTACATGTTCAATTGTGTAGGCATATTCATCCGAATATTCCATCGTGTAATACTCCAGATGGACGGGTGTTTCAAGTAGAGTATGCTAACAAGGCTGTCGAAAACAGTGGAACAGCCATTGGTATCCGTTGTAGCGATGGTGTGGTCTTCGGTGTAGAGAAGATTATCATGAGCAAGTTATACGAGAAGTCGTCAAATCCGCGCAATTTCACGTAAGTCTTAGATATGTGTGTTTATTTATTTACCCACTGCTTTGTAACGATTGTTCAAGGTATGCTGATGAACTCATTTTTGTTCATGCATGTGCCATTTTAAATGGCGACTTACGTACATCATAGACTTATTGGAAGAACAATATATTGACTTTTGTGTACAGCAAACAGTATCAAGTTGTGACACTGTCTTGAGCGTATGTCGGTCTACCATATCTACAATTGCGGTAGAATCTGCATTTTTTTTGTGTGACTTCCGTATGACCATTAGCGCCTTCCTCACACGTGCGAGAACGAATGTCTTATCCGCATCGATCGCATTTCGAACGCATTTTTCGCCCCACGCCTTTCCTTACCCGAATTTTACCTACCCGAATGCTGTTTGTTAATGCGCAAGGATGGACTTTTGCATCAAGTTTATTCACGAACATCTCAAGCATTACTAAAACCTGTACCGCTCGTACAATATTTTTCTACATATTGTATTTTCCCTTCTTCCGAGTTCTATGTATCGTAGCTGTTGGTAATATAGCTCTCCTATCTCAGAGTATAGACGTAAGTGTTCCCTAGGCTCTTCCCCGCTTCTCTTTCTTTATATCCAAACATCTTGGTTTCGTTTAAGCAATGTTTACTGGCTTATTCTTATATCGTTAGTGTCGATCGAGAGCCATCGCTTCCTGTCAACTTTACAATGTCAATACTTCAGAAATATGCTCAACTGTGTATTGTCATTTCACCCTATCGCCACATGTTCATCAAAAACAAGATATGTGCAACCTGTGCTCCCTACAAGTCTTATGAGAATATTTCATATTGTACCCAGACTTGGTCCGTCAGATCACACATTCACTTTTTCAAACGCAACTACACCCCTTTCATTCGATACTTGTGCAGTGTTGATAAACACATTGCGATAATTTTCTCCGGCCTATCTGCCGATGCTCGTCAGTTAGTCAACCGCGCCAGGGAGGAAGCCGCAAACTACAGAACAACATACGGTAGCACTATACCCTTAAAGGTATGTGCTATTCTTCTGATACAAATCCGGTTGTTTACATATGCGTGGTCTAAAAAAAGAAACACGTAGATAGTATTACTTCTGACTTAGCGCGCGACGTCTGTATATACTGGTTATTTAATTCTGAAGTATATTGCATATGTAGTTGTATGATTAATATTTTACGTGTATTCGAACATATAGGATTGTGATTTGAAATGCAATATACACACTTTCCCATATTGGTGATTGGGGCCACTCCCCTGCATATGTGCATTTACATACACACCCAATAGATACACTTACTTTTCAGGCAATATGTTTATGTTGATGATTTGGGGTTACTCTCTTACTTCTCTGTGTATACACATACTATTCAATGTATTCTCTAATATTATGGCTGTACATTGTAGTTAGCCTGTATCACTTCATATCCCCCCCCCCCCAATTTTAATGGCATGTGTTACTTTATCTTAAATACGCTGATTCCGAACGGAGATTTCCCCCCTGCTAAAATGTACAGGCGTAAGTTGCCACTATATGACGATATAATTCACTATCAGAAATTGAGATTCATGTTCTTCATGCAAAAGGACGTCAAACAAATTAACGCGCATTAGGTGTCCAAGATAATGCTAGGCTGGCATCGTAGATATCTGCAGTACTGAAACCTTCCAGTATCGAACGGGCTGCTTGCAATCACATATGCTACGAATTCTGAAGGCGCAATACGCATATAAAATGCCGTAATAGATTCACGTGCAAGAGTATACACTATATAGGATGACAAGCATTTGTATGTCTAATCTGCGTGTGCCGTTTTCAGCATTGCGAACATGATGATACACACAAGTAAAATTCTCTTGTTTGAACCCGTGCGCACATTGGTGAATACAATCGATTTAATGGTGAGTTACGATGTCGCAAGACCCTAACGAGTACATGCGTAGTATGCAGTTCAGCTGGTTGTTACTTCCAGGCCATTTTTTTTGCAAGCAACCAAGTCGCATTGTACGCGCGTTGCAGGGCTCTTTGGGTGTGTATAGATTCGAAGAAGTGAAAACTGAGCTTACACGACATGTCTATTCCAATAAGTATGTGCACTGTACTAAGAATAGTTGCCTCCATACATAGATTCTGGCGGAGAGGATCGCAAACTATGCCCAGGTCTTCACACTTTACTCTCACGTACGGCCGTTTGGAGCTTCGATCATAATCGGAACATTCACTGATGATAAACCAGAGATGTACGTGGTAGATCCCTCCGGTGTGAGCGTGGGATACTTCGGCTGCGCCGTTGGTAAAGGTCGACAGGTGAGTACTCCAGTTGCGTGTTTCTGTAGCCGATATTCTCGAGTGTATAGCTTTCAGGTCTGATGTTATAGGTTCCAGTTAGAGCCTTGCGTTCAAAGTTAAACGCATTTCTTTTCCTTACTTCATTCTACTTCGACTTCATCTCCTAGGCTGCAAACACAGAAGTCGAGAAACTCAAATTGGGCGAGCTTACAATGAAGGAAGCTGTGCACGCCATCGCCAAGATTATCCACACAATTCACGATGATGTGAAAGATAAAGAATTCATTCTTGAAATGAGCTGGGTGGGCAAGGAAACGCAAGGTCGTCACAGACCTGTTCCAGATGAAATCATTCAGGAGGCATCAGAAGCTGCTAAGGTATTTTGGAACATCGTCGTATTTATTGATGCTGTTTTATGAGGGTTTGACTGCTTGTTTACATCTCTTATATCGTCTTTCTGCAACCGAATGACAGTTTGACATTTTATACTAACATACGAGCGTGCGTAACATTTATATTTACACAGAAGGCTCTCGAGGACGACAGCGACGATGATATGGAAGAATAGGCCAGAATACATCTCACGAACTTCATTTTGAAACTATCGCGATCAGTAACTCATGAATAAAAGCAAACTGTATCATTTTAATCTTATTTGTTCTTTCGACATCTTAGCATACCGCCAATTCCCGTCAAAAGTAAACATTCCCTCGTGAACACTGAGCTTCGTTATAATTTAGTTTGAAAACGCCAAGACATGATTTTGAAGTAAGAAACACTTACCAACAAACAATTGTGCAAATATGAAATACACCAAGCTTTCGAATCTATAAATAAAACATAAATACATCAAAGCAAACGCTTGAACATCAATATGTATAATTGGTACATACATATGCATACAAATCTGTATAGATTTATTTGTATGTACTCATTTATTTTTTCATATTACACCCATACGCCCACACACACACAAACTCACACACACATCAATATGTAAAATTGGTACATACATATGCATACAAATCTGTATAGATCTATTTGTATGTCCTCATTTATTTGTTCATATTACACTCATACGCACACACACACACATTTACACACACATATATATATATATACATATACATATATATATATACATATACATATATATATATATAATATATATGTATATACA